TTTTAAAAAAACGGCTTGGTGGTATAATATTTTAAAAAAAGCATGACAGTCAGTTTTGTAAATTATTTTTGAACCTACTCTCCTTTTGCCCTCCTTCACTGTGACCGGCAACGGCTCTTTTTAAATGTTATTATGTTTTGACTTGAACACATTTTCAATGTTCACAACTTTATAATGACTGCAAGTGTGCAAACATTGTTACATTAATAGGTTCATTAAAGACACTGTCTGTTACCCTTATAATATAATCCTTTTTTCCTAGGTGCCATGATCAAACACAATTTCCCCTATCACCAAGCGTTTGTAAGCATTTAAGTATAACTAAAGCATCTCAAATTCCTCTCTCGTGAGCGATTATTTCTAGCCTTTGGGAATTCGTGATAAATCGACTCCACTGTGAAATAGTTCTTCCGCCCACGTTCGTGAAAACCACAGACCGGGGTACATGCTTCGCGATGCATTTTATTGCCAATCTGTCTACACGTGCGTAGGAAAAACGCAGCTATGCTACTGCCAGACCTCTGTGTGAAAAGATGCAGTGGCTTCTTTCCGGAACTGCTCAGGTTCCCAATCTACTTCATTTGCAAAAGAGAGTCCAAATCCCATTCCCGCCACAGACGAAGTGGCCGAGCGAAAAAGAACACTGAATTTATCGAAGGATACAAAAGCCTACCCTCCCGAGGACAGAGCATAAGCAGTAAACCTTAGAATGGTACGCAAATACTAGCAAAAACAGGTCCAAAATTTTATTGAATGACTGAACAATTTAGACGATGCAGTGAGGTGGGGAGGAGGAGGGTCCACTGGTGGAATTACTGATCTGGCGTCACGGCCTTTTGTGGGGAGTTCGTCATCCGAGCGCTGTGCTTTCTGCCTTCGGCCTCAATCTCGTCCATGAGTTTGCTTAGCTCCTCTGCACTGACAACAACCCACCCATCGGGATCGTCGTCATCCTCAGTATTCAACTCGACACTGGTCGCCGTGGCACCCGTTGTACCCTCGGCAGAAGTCGCAGTAGAAACGTCAGCGAGGTTCTCAGCGGGAGAAGTAGCATCTACAATCTCAGTAGTAGTCTCGACAATGACGGGAGTAGTGGCGGTAGTGTCCACCTTTGCCTTTTCTTCTGTGGCTACCGTCAGCAGGGAAGGATCAAGGCTGGTATCTACTGTCTCCTCCTCCTCCGACCAGACGACACCGAAGAACAGGCAGACGGAAATAAGGAGAACAAGGAGTGTTTTCATTGTGGTTCACGTTAACGTTACGTAAACGAGCTCTGATTCTATTCTCATGTATGTGTCGGTGGACCTTTATAGTTTTTTCTGGTCAACCAGGAAACCGTAACACTTTGAAAGATTTACGATCTCGTTGAAAATGGGGGCGGCGTCGGCTCGTAAATCAGCCGTTTTTTCTTCTCCTTTATAACCTTTGAACTGTGGAATGGTAG